GGGAGGACAGAGCCTCTGGCCACCTTGACGATGTTGTAGAGAGCCTCGCAGGCGTAGTACCGCAGGCGACTGTCGGCGTCATTGAAACATGTCAGCACCGGCTCAATCAGCTCCTTCAGGTACAGCCCAGAGTCCTGGTGGGCACAAGGAGACTGCTCAGCCAAGGACCATGGCACAGGGAAGAGATGGCACTGCCCTGGCACATACTGCAAACATCCTGCCCGTACCTCAGCCCTCCTTTCCAAAGATCCTGCTCGTGCTGCCGGGGCTGCCTGAGCTGGGGGTGGGAGGTGGAAGGGCTGCAACTCCTGTCAGCTCTGTTAACACGAATTAGCACCCAACCTGCTGAGTCTAGTCCAGCTGCTGGACACTGAGGATGGACAGACGCACTTTAAACACGCCTGGGGGAGCTGCCAAGGTGTAACCCAGGCCAGAAAGTGCTCCAGGGCCCAAAGGACGAAGGTGGGTGTGCTGGGAAAACTCAAACACGACCCAGCTGAATGCTGCGAGGCAGGGAGGGAGCCAGGGAGCTGCAGGGCCGCCAGCCCGAGTCTCCCCATCGCACTGACCCAGGAGGAACTGCTGTTCTCACACCACAACCTGCACAAGTCCCAAACCCCACCGCACCCACCTTGCCCAGGGCGATGGAACAGGCTGCCAGGCCAATGAGTCCCCCTTTCCGGCTGTGGGGGTGCTGGGAGAGTGCAAACTCCTGCGACAGGATCTGGATGACGTGTTTGATCTGAGATGTGTTGTTCTGAGCCACAAACTCTCGCACCAGCCTGGGGAGAGGAGAGGAGAGCACACGAGGGGGAGTTTAGGTTCTGCCCGATACAAACGCTGAGGGGTTTGGTTCCCCATGGGGACTTTCAGCCATGACAAACACCAGAGAAAGTGGTAATGAAATGGGGAATGCTGACAGGATCCACAAGTGAAACTAGAGCCCTCCCCTCCACCCTGCTCACATCCAACAGCAGATCACTGCCCTCCAGCTGCTCCAGCCTGCAGCCTCCTCCACCACTCACGAGCTCTAAGCCCAGGATGGGCTCTCAAGGGCCACCCCAGTGCAGCTGTTTGCTTGCAGAGAAGAAGTTACCAGGTCTTCAAACCCCCTCTCCAACAGGGCAGGTCATTTATCCCCAGCAGGGCACAGGACAGCAGCCAAGAGGAGCTAAGCACAGACCAGGAGTGCTGGTAGCTGGGCACGGAATTGCTGCCCACCAGACCCACACGCAGTGCCAAGATTTTGGACCTTTCCCAGCCACCCACACGCTGCTTCAGCTGATACCTCATACATTTAATTTTATATTAACAGTATATTTAAATATGCTCCTAAACAGCACAAGCCTTAATAAAAAGCCAACCCAGTTTCCATACGCAATACCTGCTCCGCCCCAGGAACTTGCAGCTCGTTACCCAGAGATAATTAATGCATCACCCGTGCTCAGATGAACGAGCTTCCAGCCTAGGGAACCGCTTCCAGGTCCCAGCTTGTCCATCCAGCCCTTTGGCCCTGGTTTCCCTGTGGCAGAGCCACCGGCCAGGCAGGGAGGCACAGGCAGCTGTGGAGCCAGCTGTGGAGCCAGATGTGCACACAGCTGTAGCATTGGTGGTTCAGTGGTAGAATTCTCGCCTGCCACGCGGGAGGCCCGGGTTCGATTCCCGGCCAATGCAGTGCTGTTTTTCCTCCATTTTTCTTGGACTTCTATCCACAATACAAGACCCAGGCCCTTCAAAAATACTGCCTAAATCACTAACCTTCACCTTCATTGTCAATAAAGGTGAAAAAGCTTTCACTGCCTAGTTCCATACAAGGTTTCTTTGGCACTATATGGATCTCACACCACCCTCTCCCAGACAAGGGCCACCGGCCAGTCACGCACTTTATAATCCAGGAAAATCATTACAGAAAATGTTCACGAACTTTCCTTCCCAGGATTATGAACACCAGCTCTGCTCTGACCTTAGCAGCTGCTCCCTTTCTCTCCAGGGGCACCAGGCAGCCCCTCCCTACTCTTCCTACTCCAAAGCCAAGTTCTCCAACACTTACAGCCCGACCCTTTATCCCAACAGCTGATTTAGGGAAAATGGCTCCATCTCCAGTCCTGCTCCAAGAAGAGGAACACACTGAGCTCAAGCAAGACAGACCACTGGGGTGATCACTTTACTGCCTGCATTTCATGGATGGAGCTTTGCCTGAATGTGAATAAGTTTGCAGACTTCCTTAAAGGATTCAAGGTTTAATTAACGAGGCAAAAAGCCATGGAAAGTGAAGTGCAGCATCATAGAGCCTAAAAGCAGCAGGAGCTGCTGCTCCTGCATCATCAGCCAGAGGACAAGGAGGCTCCTGAGTTGAGAGGCAGCAAGTCCCTCCTGGCTCAATGCCATGGACATGGGAGAGATGCTGCTGGGGCTGTTCTGTGATGGGTTTTGGATGATCTAAACCTGTGAGATCTGCAGAAAAGGTTGGCCCTTGCCTTCTTCCTTCTCATACCCTTCCCAAATCATGTTTGCAGATTGATTAGCTGAACTATCTGACCCCAAAGCAGACTTTGGTTGGTATAAGCCAAGCATAGACTCACGGTCCCCCCAGCGTGACCCCCAGCCCCAAAGCCCCCAGCTCCCACTGGGGTCACCCCTTCCCCCTACTCCGGGCCTCCCGTGTCCCCCCGGGGTGATCCCCACCGCCGCAGCCGCCAGCTCCCACCGGGCACAGCCGGGCCGGTCCCTCCCGCCGCCCCCTGCCCGGTGGGACCTGGACCCACCCCAAACATCCCTGACCGGCTCCCGCCACGCCGGGGCCGCGGGGAGACCCGGTACGCCAACACCCCTCCCCGCCCTTCCCCGGGGAGCCGGGTCGGCCTCCCCGGCCCCATCCCCGCAGCGGCGCCGCCCTCGATTCCCGCTGCCCTCCCCGGTTTCCCGGCACCTCCCGCCACTCACTTCTCGATCTCCAGGGCCGCCACCTTCCTCTTCTCGTAGAGCTTGTCGGTGAGCGCCCGCACCACGCCGGGCGCCAGCGGCGCCAGGTCCCGCTCGGCGTTCATGGCCCCGCCGGGCGGCCACGTGACCGCGCCCGGGACCGCGCCCACGTGACCCCGCCGGCGGCGCGCCCACGTGATCCCCGCCCCCCCGCTCACGTGACCCACGCCACGCCCACGTGCCCCCCACGCCCCCCCGTGAGACCCCGCCCCCCACACGGGACCCGCCCCCGCGGCCGAGGGGCTGGAGGGAAGGGGCGGAGGGGAGAGCGGGGAGCTGAGCGTGGGCCAGCAGTGTGCCCGGGGGGGCAAGAGAGCCAATGGATCCTGGCCTGGATCGGGAACAGTGTGGCAGCAGCAGCAGGGAGGTGATTCTGCCCCTGGACTCAGCGCTGGTGAGGCCACCCCTGGAGTGCTGTGTCCAGCTCTGGGCCCTCAGTTCAGGAAGGACATGGAGGGGCTGGAGCAGGTCCAGGGAAGAGCAGCGAGGCTGGGGAAGGGACTGGAGCACAAGTCCTATGAGGAGAGGCTGAGGGAGCTGGGGCTGTTCAGCCTGGAGAAGAGGAGGCTCAGGGGAGACCTCCTCACTCTCTACAACTCCCTGACAGGAGGGGGGAGCCAGGTGGGCGTCCCGAATCCAAGGGGCGGGGGAGCACAGGGCACTGGGAATTCCGGCGCTGGGAACATCGGCGCTGGGAACGCCGGCGCTGCAGTGGCGGAGCGCGGCCACACGGGAGCGCCGTGCCCCTGGAATGTTGCCGGGATCATCCCGGCAACGCGCCGGTGGGACTTTGGCGCTGGAATGAGCCTCGTCCCGGCTGGGGGCGAGCCCGGGCACCGGGACCCCGAAACACACGTCCATGGGGCGGGGGAAGGGCGGAGGCTCGTGGGGAAGCTGCTGAACCCAAGAACACGCAGCCCACGGGGTCACGCTGTTAAATGCCGGGATGCGATCCAGAGACTTCTCCACGCGGGAAGGGATTTCCCTGAAAGACACGTGCACATGGAGAGAAACGAGAAGTGAATTTGCAGATGACCTGCCCTTGCATTATCTGCCTCTTCGCTGGCTCTGTCCCCATGGTGGCGTGACACAGCAGCCACTCTGACACAGCCAGGAGAATTGAGGGAATTTTTCCCTTCCTCTCATGTTTTCAAAGCCACACTCAGAGTCAGTCATCTAATGCTCATTAATGAGCCACTTCAGAGTGCTTTTTCCTTGTTAAAGTGGGCAGCAGTTGTGCCTACTGGCCACGAGGAGCAAGCTGGATTCACATGAGGAACAAGTTGGATTCAGCTTTGAGTAAATACAAAAAATTTGGAGAAAGAGACAGGTGTGCTTCAGCACCCCTAGAAAAAGGAACGCGTGTAAAGAATGGCAGTAAAAAAGTGCAGTTAAAGTGCCCTGTCTGAGCCCTAAAAATTAAGATTTCTTTTTCTTTTTTAAACTAACCAGAGATTCAATGCACCCACATTCCCCAAGAGACCCAAGGGCTCTCAGATCCTGGGACACTGCTGAAAGCAAGGCGAGCTTGTGGTTCTGTTGCTGGGAAGCAGCAAATATAAAAGAGACAATGATATTAGATCTGGTCCTGTCCCTGAAAATCGAGAATAAACTCCTTAACACCTGTGCAGTATTGAGAAGCAGGTATTACTTTATAGCAGCACTCCATGCATACAGGAGTAATTTCACCTAATATGCAGGCTTGGCTTTACAGGTCTTTATTTAAAGTCAGTTTGACTCCTTACAAAGTTGGTTACAAGGCCCTGCCTTCAACATTCCATTCACCATTCCTTTCTCAAAACCCATTCACAACAGTTCAGCTGCTTAAAGAACTCACCCAATCCTACTCTTCATGACTGAGGGACACAAGGAGACATCCCAATTATATCCCCTGTCCGTGGCAGGCAGATAGGAGCTCGCTTTGGCTACACTCAGGGCTGGTAGAGGATGTCACAGCCCTTCACCCCCTTCCTGGGGGGCAGCTTCTCACCCGTGGCACCTGGAGGCCTCCTTTGAATTTAGGTGGTGAAGAGGTGAACCTGGAAAATAATGTAACTATGATCAGGGACCTGCAGTGGGAGGGAGGGAGGGACACCTGCATGAGCTGCTCCTTGTCAGGATGCAGCCCCTGGGTGGGTGCTGGGGTGGTGAGCTCAGAAGCAGTCAGATCCAGCTGCTCCAAAACCAGGCTGGAGCAGGTCCATGCTCGGAGCAGCCCAGGGATGATGCTGGGGTAGCAGCAGTGCAGGCAGCTGCAACTGCTTGCAGAGGACAGAGGTGAACACCTTGTGGGGAGGCAAAAAGCACAGCAGAAAGGAAAAGACAGAGAAACCGTGCAAAAAGGTGAGACTGAGGCATGAAGGGGCAGATCCAGCCAGCAATGAGCCAGCACAGCCCCCACAGCACCCCCCTGGAAGTAAGGGCCAGTGCCAGAAACTGCAGCTCTCCCAGGTATTTATCTGGAATGTTTCTCTGACAGTGTCAGGGAGGTTAACATTTTCCAACACTCCCAGGTGACTCAGGTCACGCTCCCTGTTTTAAATCACAGCAGGTGCTCAGGGTAACTCTGCTTGTCTTTCTAATATGAGGGACACACTCGAGCTGTGCCTGCCTGTCAGCATGCTGAGCTGCAAGTATTCCCTGCTCAGTCAAACATAACCTGGATGCTCTATTCCCAGCTGGGCATTCAGTCCCTTTCATGACTTGCTCCCCAAAGAATAACCATCTTTAGCTTTGCAGCTTATTATCTAAGGATGAGTTTCGTTTCTGGATGAGAGACTCTGCTCATAATAACCCCCAAGAGATCCCAAGAGACCTAAAATTATCTATTCCACCACCTTCAGTTTTAGTGAGTGATTTGAGGCAACTTCCTGGGACCATGGTGCCCAGAGAATAACATTTTTCACTCCTAAAGTAGAAGCCCTCTGGGAGCCAGGGCTGGGAGATGTTGTGATGAACAAGCCCTGCTGCTGAGCAGCACAGAGCCCACAAGGGACTTGGTCCAGTGGGGAAAAGTCAAAATGAATAACAGCAAGTGTCACAAGAAGGGGGGCAAGGAATCCAAGGTGCCCACTGAAAGCTGAGCTCTGGGAAGGAAATTGTTCTGGCACTGAAGTTGGTGTCTCAAAAAAGGAGAAGGGGGAGGTAACAAGATGTTCAACATCAGTCCAGGTGCTGCATAGTTCTTTCTCTGTTGAGCACTGGGACTTCCTGAGCATCCTCCAGCACTTCCAGGCCAAGGCTGGAAGGCAGAGGAAGGCAAGTAGCAGAGAGCAGCTCCTCTGCCTGCAGAGAGGACCCATCCCAAAGCAGAGGGGCCAAAGGGTTGTGGAAGTGCTTCCACCAGCACTGTGGAGCTGAGACTAGGAGCCTCCTGAGAGAAGTAGGTCAGTCTGGAGCTGGAGGGACTGACAGCAAGGTGTCAATCCCTCTGGGTCCTTCTCACCCAACTCAGCTACTCCTCATGAGTCAAAATGCATCCAGGAATTAACACAGGGATTTAGTGGGAGCATGGGCAGATTGACACCAGGGAGAGAGGAGTCTTTCCTGCAAGGGCCAGGAGAACCTTGTGCCACCTACTGCTCCCAGCATCAGAGATGTTACAAAAAAAAAAAAAAAAAAAATCTCAGCCTGTGTGTTGGTTTCTGAGCCTGCTCGGGACACAGCTTCACACCACTTCTCACACCTGCCTCCCAGAATAGAGGAGTGAGGAATCACACTGCTTCTGCAAAGCACATGTGGAGATCCACGTGGGATGGCACAACCCTGCCAGCTCAGGCCATGTGAGAGCCTCCAGTCACCCCAAAGCAGCAATGGCAGCGCCCGAGGTCCCTGCAGCCCCTGCCAGCACCACGGACGTGTGCCAGAAGCCACTACCCCTCTGCGTTAAATGCAGGAGTTCTGTAGAATATCCTGAGTTGAAAAGGATCCACAAGGATCATTGAAGCCGACTTCTGGACACTCAGCAGTGCTGAAGGCACTAGAGCACAGCACCCACGTGTGCAGCATCCTTGGCCAGGCCCCAGGGACCATGCACAGGGGTACCCATTAGATGCCAGGAGGCATCCACATGGGTTTACAGGACCCTATGAAGCCCTTGAATTTCTCCTCCAGGCAATCAGATGCAGATTGAAAGGGCACTTTGGAGCAAGCCATGGACAGCTCGAGGGTGTTTGCAAGATCTGCTTTTTGGGTGCACTGAGAGTCCTCAGCTGCTGCTGAAACACATGGGCCTCAAAGCATGTCATCACTGTAGGGGGGTCTGAGGCCCATCAAGCTCCATCCAACATGGCTCATGCCTCTCCCAGAGTATTTCTACATGATGTAGCTCATCCAGCTTTGCAAGGTGCAGGCCCTAAAGCTCCTCAGCCACTTTGGTCCAACCTAAGCTGGACCAGGACCAGCCACAATCAGCACTGCAGGAAGGCACAGCAGATCCTCGAGCAGATCATTCTTCAGCAGCTGTACTTCCCTCTCTGGTCGAGTTGTGGCCCTGGAATCAGTCTCCACTGACTTTGCTGGAGTTACTCTGGCTTGCACTGATTTTACAGATGACAGAACATTACCCATTAAGTCTTCCCCTTCCTTATGCTTTGCACAGCAGTCAGGGGATTTAAAAGCATCGAGTGAACTCCTGATTCTCTGTCAGACAGAAAAATGTTTCTCCATCAGACTCCAGCCAAAGGTCCCTCTGAACAAATCAGTATCTCTAACAGTAAATCCAATTTGTAGTCTTTGTTCAAAATTAAACAAGCCCAACAGCTGTAATTTGGAGGTGCTACTTAAAGCAATCAGCACCAACAACAATCTTACCAGCTACTTCAAAAATCAGCTCTGCAAGCAGAAGACTATTGACTCCCATAACGAAGAGCAAAGGAGGAGAGATGTTTTCCAGCCATCTGTGTGGCCAGGATCTGGACATTCACCATTTTAAGATGTTTCCATGGGGACAAGTGCTAAGAACTTGTAAATACAAAGAGTATGGCTGCAAGGGTGAGCAGTACATCTGGTTGAGCATAAACAGCTAAGAGCAGCAGGCTGCTCCTGCTTGCATCAGACAGGAAAGCAGAAGGCTTCTAGCCATGGGAAGAGAGAGATTCTCAATCTGTCCTCAGGGCAAAGGCTGCAGGAGATGGCTCAAAAACTGAACCCTGAGGGCAGGCTCATGGCAAGGCTGGCGGCCCCTCTGCCCGCTGGCATCGCTGTCCCTCCACGGGGCCAAGAGCAGAGCGAGGAAAGGGAGGGAGCCGAAATGATGGAGCATGTCCTGAAGTCCTCACCTGAAAGGAAACATCCCTGCTCGTCTCGACCACTTCTGCTGAACCCCAGAAGGTGTCTCCACCGGCCCGTGCTGACGTGCCACATCCCGGGCAGGCAGCGAAGCCACAGCCCAGCGCACCCCTCGGAGGGGATTCTGCAGCGGGTCACCACGGGGGAGGGAAGGAGAAGGTAAAGCAGAAACACAGATAATGAACACAAAATGAAAAACCCCCTCCAGCTTAATATACTTCCTAGGATCGAATCCCAAAATTAATCAGACAGACGCTGAAGCTCCACCCTGCTGAGCGTCTGTCCATCCCCTGCTCAGAAGGAGCAGGGATCCTCACCCTGGCAGAAATCAGATTATGGCTGTGGGGGGCTTTTACCCAGTGTTAAAGCCAAGCTAACATCACTGCTGTGTTACTGTTAAAGGTCACTCACGTAGTACAACGTAATTCCCCCCTACTTTACCCAGAGCAAGGCAGGTGTACTCCTGGGATGTGCTCACAGTCAGAGCCCCACAGAGCTCCTGGAGATGGAAAGAGGGATGACCAGACAGGATTGGCTGGGTCCAGGTGACACCAGGGACTGCTGGGGACAAGAGTGGGGTGATGGAGGCCAGGAGACAGGAGGGAGGTGACAGTTACCACTGAGGAGGGAACACACACAGCAAGCTCACAGCTGGAAAGGTTTCCTGCGGAGGAGAAAGCTGATTCTCCTGAGAGCAGAGCCACTGGAAAGGCAGCTCTAATTGGGTCAGGCGATCTCAAAAATGCAAGGCATGGCAGCTGGGCCCTGAAGGACCCCTGGGGTCCCTCACCCCCTGGGAATTCTGGCTTCCCTCTGCTACATGAAGCACACAGTGGGGAGTAAATCAATCTTTCCTCACAGCATCCCACGCTACTAACTGTGGGGTGGGCATCTCTTCGGGCTTCCCTGCTTTTTGCCGAGCCCAATTCAATCTTCCTGGGAGCTGAAGTCCTCTCCAAGCTGCTGTGCTGTACACAGCTAAAGGTTTCCCCTCTCTCTGCCCCTGGCTGCCTCCCTGTCCCAGGCAAGAGATACAGATGGATGGTGACACATCCCTGACATCCCAAAGTCCTCACCTTAACCCAGCTGCTACTTCTTCTCTGAGTTGGCAAAGACAATCCATGGCAACCTGTCAGAGTTCAAGGAGTGTCTGGATGATGCTCTTAGTGACATGATCTAGCTTTAGGTTGGGCTCCCCAACCCCTCTGCACTAGGAAGCCCCATGGGCTAGAAGGAATCAGCACAAAAAACCCTGTGCAGACTTACAGCCAAAAACATAAGAAGATCTGGCACCCGGATTCAAATTTAGCAAGAGGGGCTTGAGCCCCTTCTCCTAAGAGTTTAAAGATTTCTCACCTACCCTGTGAAGACAGGTGTGAAGGAGCAAGATTCAGGATGGGAGTGGTTCCAGGCGTGGAGAAAGACAGGCAGCAATTGACAGGACTTTATTATATGGACTTTACTGCTATTATGTGGTTTCAAATATGTGTATTGCATTGTGTCCACACTGCACAGTGCACAGCCTGGGCATACCCAGGCTTACCATGAGTTTTGCCTGCTCCCTTCTTCCCCTCTCCCCTCTCTGATGGGCTGAAAAAGCTGCAAAGAGGAGACAGTTCCCCTTCACCCTTTCCTTCCCCGGTTCCTCCCACGTTCCTCCCCTGTTTGTCTGTCTCATGCTCCACCCCATGTTCTAGCCCTTTCCCCACCTGAACTCATAAAACCCTGGGCACACCTCAATAAAAGTATT